AAGAATATCCCCAAAGGTGGAGGAATATGGCTACTCAAGTTCAACCGCCTTTGACTGAAAAGGAGACTACCGTGATGTTTGTCAATACCTTGCGAACACCTTACTACGAAAGGTTGGTTGGTACTGCTATAAAGAACTTTGCTGATATGGTTATTTCAGGGGAAATGATCGATAGTGCTATAAAGCAAGACAAAATGGAAAGATGTGAGACAACAATCATGAAGAAAGGGAATACTTTTAAAAAGAAAAAAAAGGAAACTCAAGCCATTTCTTCAAGACAACCATAATATGGGGTCTCCATACCCTTATTACCCAATAGTGAATAATACTTCTCCAAGTCTATACCTATCCCCATCAATGCCAAATGCCTTACCTAACCTTTATCCATATGCTCCTATTCAAATGCACCCTACCATGCAAATATTCACCAACTTGCTCCCACACCTGTTTTAGCTTCAACCATAAAACTTGCAACTTCCCCTAGCAATACAACCAATGAATTAAGAGGATGGCGGAATAGGCAAGATAAGGTGCAATTTGACCCAATTTTGATATCATACGCTGAACTTTTCACACAGTTGGTTTCAAATCATGTAATGACACCCTTATCAATAAAGCCATTAAAACCTCCATTTCCAAGATGGTATGGTGCTACCGCTTATTGTGATTATCACTATGGAATTGAAGGTCATTCGATTAAGAATATACAACCTTTAAACACAAGGTGCAAGGCTTGATTAAGGTAAGGTTCTTAAAATTTAAGAAAAGCCAAAACAAGTTGAAGACAAAGTGCTTGCAAAAATCACCATTGAAGTCCTTAAACTTTTCTCTTACAAAAATGAAAAAGCTGTTCTTTGGAATTATAATTGCAACATACAAGTTTCAAATATGGGGAAAAAGACAATTGTACCCTAGGAAAAAGGTGCAAATATAACTGGTGTTGGAGGAATTACCCCGTAGTGGATGCTATTATGCACCAGAAGTTTTGGAGAATCTTAAGAAAAAAGAAAGGAAAACAAAAAGAGCAAAGTTGGGGTGAAGATAAAACGCAATCCCAATAACCAACAGATGGCCCTAAAGGATCAATGATAGAAAAGAAAGCTCTTGAGTTCTTGAAGTTTATCAAACATAGTGAATATAATGTGGTTGAATAGTTGAACAAGTTGCCTGCTCATATTTCACTACTGTCTTTGCTCTGTAGTTTTGAACCGGATAGGAATTCCTTAATGAAGATTCTGAATCAGGCATATGTTGATTGTCAGTTAAAATTCTACTATGCAAGTATATGTATTGAATAGACAGTATATTAGCAAATAGCATATCGATTCCACAAAGAATTAATCTAAATTTTACTAAATACTAAAATTAGAACAAATTAATCTTATCCACACACTCAAAATTTAATTAATTAACTAAAACTAATTAACTAAAATTTAAACTAACTAGAAAAAATCAAAATAATAATAACTTGAGTAAACATCAATTCAAACAAGCCTAGGATTACAATATCGTTTGCACTTCATCTAAATCTTACCTCTCTTCCTCAACTTATTCTCAATAGGTTGAATTACTAACCTAGAGT